TATAAAATCTAACAGACTCGACCTCCTCATTTCAGAATCTCTACATATCCGCAAGATCAAGCCTGGACTAAATAGTTCACCAATTCAACTATTTACAGTATAATTAAATTACTGTAACAAGCACTTCTCACTTGTTAGATATGTTTCACCCTCATGCTTGTAATGTTTCACAATGTTTCTGTCTCTTATTTTTGTTGTTTTATTACCCTTTTTAATTGTATATTCTATGAACTGTTTTTGTCGTTGTTTTTGCCGTTTCATCTAACAATAGTCTAAGTTCATTTTCTAGTCTGACGGAGATGCAATTGTATCTGTGTGTGTGTGTGTGTGTGTGTGTGTGTGTGTGTGTGTGTGTGTGTGTGTGTGTGTGTGTGTGTGTGTGTGTGTGTGTGTGTGTGTGTGTAGATGTGACTGTGTATGCATTATATTCCCGAACGCAATATCTAAGGGAAGTTAAAAGGATGAAACCAACTTCCGAAATAAAAAGGGCCGTCGGAGTAATCAGCTGATGTTAAGGGGATTGCTTCTCGCCAACTCATAAAGGGATGATTGATGAAACCTTGCGATTCAACCCAAGATTTAATTATCTTAGATTAATTTTGGGTGGAAGATAAATTGTTCAGTCTTGTCGGGTTTTAGACAGCTACAGTGTGCAGTCTTCCCATATCCTACCAGTCCTTATGTACCTCCTTTGGAATTTGTCTTATATACACATACTTGCGTGTATACTTTTATTTGCATGAGTACATGTATATATATATATATATATATATATATATATATATATATATATATATATATATATATATATATATATATATACTCCACATATACTACATACATATATGTACATGGAAATATATATATGTATATATATATATATATAAGTATATATATATATATATATATATGTATATATATATATATATATATATATATATATATATATATATATATATATATATGATATATATATATTATATATATATATATATATATATATATATATATATATATATATATATATATAATGTATGTATCATATTATATACTGTGTATGCTAGCATGCCGTGATATACCACATGCATATGTGTGCGTGTGTGTGTGGGGGGGGGGGGGTATGTATCCCAGAGCCTTCAAAGATAGTGTCTGTAACGCTTATCCTTTGCACCTCGCACGAAGAAATTTGTTACCTTTGTGGTAATTTTCGAATTGGTCAGTATCAAATATCAAGTTATCAATCAATAAATCTCAAGCGTGTTGGCTTCCCGTTACGGCACTTCACACACACACATGAATGCATGCGTGTGTCGAAACAGAAAGGACAATTTCACTCATAGGCATACGCCAGTGCAACTGTTGATTTTGGCTTTACGGATTTTTTATCTGTCGTAAGTTGAATGGGAGTGAACAATTGACAGAGGCATTTCTCGTTATATGGAACTGTAGACAAACAAATAATTCTTTGAGCCTAGACCTTTCGCACTCAGTGATAGGACAACAGAGATAAACAATTAGTAATATGATGCACTGTCGGTCCAGCGATGGTTCGAGATTACGTAGTCGATTAAGTCCTTGCTGTCCTGCTAAATCTAAGTCCAAGAGACGGCTTCTTTTTCCGTGTAAGTTGGGCGTTTAGAAGCCATGTTTCTAAAATCATCACTTCGCCCATCTTTTTTCCATCTCCCTTTGCTGCATATGCGATGCAATTAAGCTATGTGTTTGACTCGTCGAGCTTGATCTTCATGTTGTAGTTGGAGGACAAGCCCTTGGGGAAGGTGATCGCCCTTCAGTTCGTTCCGGAGCTCGTAGAGTCGATGGTGCGGTGTCCTAATGGCCTACAGGAATATAATCACCAGACATTCTACTTCGTTTCTTTACGTAGATGATGTTATTGTTATTGTCCCCAGTTCACCGTAGAGGAAGAAGAGGATCAGAAATAACCTTTCCCACAAGAATAGAACAAAATCTGGGGTTGTAATTGGCTTCTTCCTCAGAACACAGAGGAGGATCTGTAGCCCTGAATTCATTTTCCCCACGCAATTAATTCTTTCATGGAACATAAATATCCCAGATATTTCCTGCTAAACCTCAGAAAGAAGGAAGAAGACATACAAGACCACACCCTGCACCCTCTTCTTAGGCGATCACATCGTGCTGACGTCCGACACGACAGAACTTCTCATCCTTATCGTTCTCCTCATCCTTCTCATCCTCATCCTCATCCTCATCTTGGTGATGCATGTGGATGAAGCTGGACATTTACCGAACTGGAAGGCAGCAGAAGTAACCCATGGCGGATTGAACAATCAGAAAAGAAAAAATAATGGAAGCTGCAGACATCGCGGAGACAAATGTAAACTGCATCGGTCAGCTAAACCGGTTGCCATCAAAGCATAAATATATCATACCCTGCACATATATCTTTGCAATAAATTTTAAAGAAACAGTTCTGAGCAAACAAACCCACACAAACGGAGACATTCATGTTATCACAATT